CTGCAGCTGCTCTCTTGGATGCTGGGTAAGTTCACATTTTGCTTTTGCTCTTCCATTTGCATTTTTGTTTTAAGTTTGTTTCTTTTTTGATTAAGTTAACAAAGCCACCCATTATCTCTCTCAACTGTCTGAGGTGGTCTCCAAAATCCAACCGTCCTTCATCCTTGCATGCTATTTATTTTGGCTGGTTGTAGAATTTAGGTTCCTTAATTTGAGCTACATCTGCAAACCAAATGATATGTACTCACAAATATGGGGGAAAGCTTTATGGTAGTTTGACTACCATACTGAATTGTTGCTGACAATTCAATACAAATTATTTGTTTACTCATCCTCTGATGCATTTTGAAAACAATAAGCAACTGAAATGAAGGAGTTGAATCCAATATAATCTTGTTTGGAATTTGGATGATGAGATTGAGAAAAATGATGGGAAAATTACAAATGAAAGAGAAAGGTAGTGAGAAGATAAGTAGAGTGAGGAGTTGAGGTTTTTCTGTTATTTGATGGCATTCTAAGTATTATAGATGGGTTTTTATACATCTGAAAAGTCATGCTAACAATACTTTGACTGCCACACCAACAGGACTTGTTTAACCATGTATCATCCTCCCTCTTTTTTTTTTCTTTTTTTTTTTCATGGAACAGGCAGGTTATTGGCATTGATGTTGATTCTCAATCTCTTGAAATAGCATCAATGAATGCAGAGGATCTTGAGGTGCTTTCTCTTTCTTGATCTTGATAAATAGCAACGTCCAAACCAAAGCTTTTGCTTGGCATATTTCTATTTTTCTTTTATAAATGAGAATTCTGGTAATAGAGTTTTAAGTTTATCTTAATCTACACAATAAATGTGCTGGAAAACTGATGGGTCCTTGCTATCTTGATTGAATCTGCAGTTGGACATAGATTTTGTTCAGTGTGACATCAAAAACCTAGGATGGCGAGGTAACAATCTATCCCCCTGCCCATTTTCTGTATCTTTGTGTGCATATGCTCATGTTTAAAGTGGAATCATCAGTATCACAATATCAATCCAGGAATTGGCGTTGAGTTAAACGATTAGCATTCAAAATATGGTTGAATTCCGAAAATAGGCTCTCATACTTATCTTTCATTCTATTTACTTGCAACATACAAGCACCAAATATTTTTAAAGGGGGTTTGCTCCAACCTCATTGAGCAGGGTTTGGTTCTTTGAGGAGGCCATGAGGAGCTAATTCCTCATGAATTCTCCAGTTCTAGTGTGGATGGCTTGCCTTTGATTGGTTTGGAAAAGTGGAGTTAGTTTGGTGTGCAAACTGGCCTAGGATACCACCTGCTACCCCAAAAAAGAGTGACTACATGGGACAGCAGCATTTCTTATATCGTTCTCTGTTACCTTCTTCAAATTTAATGATTTTAATACAGCTCAATTGGTTGGCAAAAAAATTACAACTCAAAATATAATATAGATAGCTCTAAAGTCAGTTTTATTCTGTAATAGAAGTTCCTAACTGTCAAGGCACTCGTGGAAGAGCTTGTCGTGCTATAGCCCTAGGGTTATTTGGTGGATTTGCATGGATGGTCAATTTGTGTTTTCCACTGAGGGAATAATGACTACAGAACTGGAACTTGTTTTCTCTTTCTCTTTAGTTTTGTTGCAAAGACCAATAAAAATATACAATCAAAAAACCTAATTTATAAATCAGTGTTTACCATATTACCTTTATGGGACTTACGGAAGAAAAATAATAGATTCCCAATGAATTTCCTTCTACATTGCTATTATATGGTCTCAATCGCTTATTTAGGTCGAACGGTTGATACGGTTGTGATGAATCCGCCATTTGGAACCCGGAAAAAGGGTGCTGACATGGATTTTCTCTTTGTAGCTTTGAATGTAAGTAGTGAAACTAAGCCAGGATGCTTCAAATGCATGTGTTAGCTTAGTAAATGTAAGAAGCATAATTTCCATATGTTGGTTGTTATGCAGGTTGCTTCTCAGGCAGTTTACTCCTTGCATAAGACCTCAACAAGAGAAGTAAGTGATTCCCTTTGACTTTACTAGCCTGAAGAGTATAAATTAGTATAAACTATAAATATATTTTTTTTACCCTAATTTAACTGGTTTTATATGCTACATTTTATTTTGCATAAATGTTGGACTGTGGACAGTTTAGCAAATCAACTATTCCATGCAATGTTTTTACTATGTCAGCATTTCATAAATTTCTTGCATTTAGTTCAAACTTTATAGCAGCCTTAGAAAGTCTTAATCTTTCAACATATGCCATTATCAAATAAAAAGTCATTTGATATGGTAAATGTTGCTATAATATTCCCTATTTATTTTTTTCCCCTTTTTGAGTTTTGGTGATTCGGCTTTCGGCATCTGGACTCATTTAAAAAGCAGGCCCACTGCAATTAAGCTTCATAAATAAGGTTAGGCTCTCTTAGGTTTCTCCAGTGAACACATGGGTGATTTTGGAAAAGGCCAGTACTTTTGTGTAGTCAGCCAATAGTTTGGAAATTGTTTGTGACCAAACTTTGTTAACTTGTCATGATATAATGATTTTGGAGTGGATGAGATGAAGGCCATCACTTCTTCAAATAGCAAATGGATTCTTCTCTGTGGGTTGTAAATATTTTGTTGTTATGGGGAATTACAAGACCACTTTCATCTGTCAACTGCAGCATGTTAAAAGGGCAGCTTTGCGGGACTTCAATGCTAGCAGTGCTGAGGTTTTGTGCGAGGTGGGTACAATTGCTTTCTTTGGAACAAAATTTAAGATTTCTGTCACTTTACATAAAATGTTACATATTCTGCACACAGCTTCGGTTTGACGTTCCACAACTATACAAATTTCACAAGAAAAAGGAGGTGGATGTTGCTGTTGACCTCTGGAGACTTGTGCCCAAAAGGATTCAGGGGAAGGACATTTAATTTGGTACTACATCCAGACTGTTAATAGGATGAATCACATGGACTGAATGTATCAAAAATATTTTTCTATTTTGTTATTGATGATGTGGAGTGTACGGGCCAAGGGAGCAACCAAAAAAAAAAAAAGAAAAGAAAAAGAAAAGGTGCCTGTGTTAAAAATATGATGAGAAAATCCTCATTCTCTTTTTAGATACCTTGTAAAATTTATGTACATCAATTTGTAGTCCCTTCAGAATTACAAGTAGTTCAAAACAGAAAGTTTCCAGATACATGCCAATGTTGTTGATTCTTCAGTTCAATTTAAGGTGCAGGAACCTTGCTTCTTCATGGATAAATGAACACTAATCCTCTTAAGATTAGCTAAATTCTTCACTAATTCAGTGTCATAATCTAAAAACAGAGCTATCTTGCAGGGTTTGAGATTAGAAATTCAATGATGCATGAAGAGGGCATTTCAATATTTCAAATTTTCGAGAAGATAAATGTGATGCTTCTTTCTCATTTAACAAAGATAAAAACAGTATATGTTGACAATTTTTCAAACATGAAATGTAGCCGTTACAGTAAGAAAAAGAACACAATTTGCTTTGATCACCACAAAAAGAATCAGAACATTTCTCTTCCAAAATTAATTTTGCTCTCCACTTGGATCTCCTTAATCAGGAGCATTACCTAATCCCTTGATACTACTGAGTTTCTGTTAAAACAACATCATCCTGTCTCAAGCTTTGCTCCCTGTTTTAGCATCTTCATTTGTCTCACCAAGAGTAAACCGTACAAACCTTCTTACTTTGATGTTCTCCCCAAGAGCTGCTACAGTTTGCTTTACCAGGTCTTTGACCAACACACTGTCATCCTTGATGAAGGGCTGCTCTATAAGAGCCAGCTCTCCAAGCCTCTTTGAGACCCTCCCCTCAACTATTCTCTCTCTAATGTTCTCTGGTTTTGACAAGAGGTCTTCTCTCTGCATCTCCAGCTCTTTCTCCTTGTTCACAATACTCTCTGGAATGTCTTCAATGGATACAAACTGGACCTGTGGACAGGCAACCACTTGCATAGCTAGATCGTCAACCAACTCCTTGAATTTTTCGCTCCTACCAACAAAGTCAGTCTCACAGTTGACTTCAATGAGCACTCCAATGCGGGAGTCATGAATGTAGGAACCGATTCTGCCCTCTGCTGCAAGGCGGCTGGATTTCTTGTCAGCAGTTGACAGGCCCTTCTTTCTGAGGTACTCCTGTGCCTTCTCAAGATCCCCACCAGTTTCAGTGAGAGCTTTCTTGCAGTCCATCATGCCCGCTCCTGTTTCTTCCCGTAATTGTTTAACAAGTGCAGCAGAGACTGTTGCTGCTGGTGGTCTGCAACATGATAATTGGGCACGTGTAAAACTTAAAAGCTATTATTTAACAAAAATGGCATGCATTTCTTTTCCAAAAGCTTTTCTAGAATGTGAGAGGAAAATGCCTATCCATTCAAAACCAGGATCAAATAAACACACATTGAAAGAAATATTCAGAGGCCTTTGCTATTAGCCAGATTTATATTGTTGGAGTATCATAACATGAGATTAGGCGACAAAGCAGAAAATAGGGAGCATGTGTCTGTGCATGTTTATGATGATAGCTGGAAAGGAACTTCTTCAGCACTAAATTATCTTAATAATATAACAAACACAAACAAGAAGCTACAATGTTTGGCTTGTAAATACTTTAGAAATTTTAGGATGAAATTAGAGAATGAATCAGAACTGCATCACACAGCTAAGAGTCAAGGAAAGTAATTACTTACTTCTGAACAGTTTCTTTGGCTTCCACAGGAGCAGCTTGCTCTTTCACTGATGTGGGTGCTGACTTCGCAGCAGTTTGGGCAGCCACTTCAGCAGCAAAATCCTGACTTTTCTTCTGTAGCCCTTCTCCAAGATTATACCTCACAAATCTTTTGACTTTTATATTTTCACCAATGGTCGCAATGGTCTGCTTAACCCAATCCTTAACAACAAGCTTATCATTCTTAATGTAGGGCTGCTCTAGTAAGGCCAGCTCCTCAAGCCTCTTTCTGATCCGCCCTTCAACAATCTTTGATCTGATCTGCTCTGGTTTTGACAACAGGTCTTCCTTCTGCATCTCAATTTCTCTTTCCTTGTTAACAATTTCTTCAGGAACATCTTCGGTAACAAGATACTGTACTTGTGGGCATGCAGCAACCTGCATGGATAGATCTTCAACTAACTCCTTAAAAATGTCCCCCCGGGAGACAAAATCTGTCTCACAATTAACCTCCACCAGGACACCAATCCTGCTATCATGAATGTAAGAACCTATTCTTCCTTCAGCTGTGACTCTGCTGGCTTTCTTTTCTGCACTTGCCAAACCTTTCTTACGTAGAAACTCCTGAGCTTTAACAATGTCCCCTCCAGTCTCTGAAAGAGCTTTCTTGCAATCCATCATACCAGCTCCTGTTTCTTCACGAAGCTGCTTTACAAGAGCTGGTGATATAGCTCCTGCTGTTCATGTACAAGAAAAACAGAACAACAATAACTGAGTCATATTAAAAATAACAATATTGAAAAGTGCACATGTAAATCTGCACATCTGTAACTTTATAGTTGCTGTTTTTTCAGTTGAGCTTAATTCAGAAGTTTGAGGGATTAATCAAATGGTGAAGACAAACCACAAAAATGGATGAAATATCAACCTTTAGTCACATATTCCTTGGGGTTAGAACCATTTGAATTAGTAATAGTGCCACTTTCTTGATTTGCAGATTCTGCCTTTTCTAATTGTGAAGTAACAGGAATTCCACTTTCAGACTCAGAAGCAGGGTTTTCAGTCTGCACTTCATCCTTGGTATCATCAACTTGATTTTCCATAACTTCGTCAATGTCCTGACTTCCCAAAGACTTAATCTGATCATCAGCTGCCTTGGTATCATCAACTTGATTCGCTAAAACATCTGCATACAATAGTAACACTTCAATGGATAAATCCAGAGAAACATGAGGGTGAGAGGGGAGGGAGGGGGAGGGGAGGGTGGAGGGTGGTAGGGGTCTTCCACCGCCATAAAACATCTGCACCCAGTATTGTCTGTGGAAACCTCAATGTGCATCCTCTCATAAGTTATCTCCTGATATTAAGTATATCCTATCCATATTCATAATTCAGATCTCAGCTCCTAATTGAAAATTTGCACGGCTAATAATGACTCTATAAACAAGTAAGTAGAGTCAGACTTCTTAGGTTTCAAATCACCATTTTGAAGTTGCATGAATGGTACAAATTTGTAAAAATTAAATAATGCACACAAACACCTGAAAATGAGAAAAATAATATCAGGATAGAAAATAGTTACTGCTCCCCTACCTTCACTATCTTCAGGTTGAGGAACCTCTGATTGCACACCTGAGCTGGTGACACTACCATTTCTGTCTCCCACTTCCTCACCTTCTGCTGGTGCTACAGAAGGCATACTGTCTTCTACCGTAGGTATTTGCACTTCATCACTTATTGAACTTTCTGAAAGTGATACTTGATCTGTTATTTCTCTCAATGAGATAGATGTCTCACTACTTTGGCCAAGATCTATTGAAGGAGCCTCCTCATTCATCTGATTATCCGTAGATATACTTGCTTCAGAAGTCAAAATTTCAGAACTCTCTGATTCTTTTTCTGTGATTTCATCATCATTGTTTACAACATCAGCTACTTCGTCAGTTATCTCAGTAAAAGCCTCAATCTTTTCCAACTTTTCATCTGCTACAGAAGAAGCACTGGCAGTCACTTCATCACTGATTTTACCATCGCTGTTTACAACCCCAACTACTTCATCAGTTTTCTCAGTAAAAGCCTCAATTTTTTCCAACTTTTCATCTGCAACAGAAGAAGCACTGGCTGTCACTTCATCACTGATTTCACCATCATTGTTTACAACACCAGCTACTTCATCAGTTTTCTCAGTAAAAGCCTCAATTTTTTCCAACTTTTCATCTGCTACAGAAGAAGCACTGGCCGTCACTTCTTCACTTATTTCACCATCGTTTTTTACAACATCAGCTACTTCATCAGTTTTCTCAGTAAAAGCCTCAATTTTTTCCAACTTTCCATCTGCTACAGAAGAAGCACTGGCCGTCACTTCATCACTGATTTCATCGTTGTTGTTTACAACATCAGCAACTTCATCAGTTTTCCCAGTAAATGCCTTAATTTTTTCCAACTTTTCATCTGCTACAGAAGAAGCACTGGCCGTCACTTCATCACTGACTGTTGGTAGGGCTTGCACATCAAGAGCACCAGAAACGGCTTCACCTTGTTTTGCCTGTCCTTTTAATTCTTCAGAAGTTGTTAATTGCACTGGTTTTTCAGATTCCTTCTCTTCTTTATTCCTCTGATCCAGAAAAGCAGCAATATCCTTATTCTTACGGAAAGCCAACACAAAGGGATTTGTTGCAGCCTGGATAACCCCTTCGGTAACCTGGAAATCTAAATTGTCATCCTTTTCTGTCTTCATTGTTAAGGTTACTTGTCCTCTTGCAATTTTTAGCACACAGACTTTGACTTCTTGGCCAACTTGCAACGATGAACCCCCCATCATGTTTCCAAATACATCATCAGATTCCTCTGATGAAGGGAGGAATCCTTCTTCCCCCTCAGGAAGAGATATGAAAGCACCAGACCTGGTTAAATTCTTGACTGTGCCCTCTAGTTCCTGTCCCTTGACAAACTTTGTGTGCTTCACCTCATCCCTTTTCTGGCTAGATTTTGAAGCATTTTTCTTAGCAGGCCTAATCCTATCACTAGTGGCAGGACTATCTTTCCTTTGCTGGCGCTTAGAATCATCAGTTTCGCTCATAGATAGAGAAATCCGACCAGTCTCAGTATCTACCTCAACTAACCTCACTTTCACCTCTTGTCCAACAGAAACAACACTACCCACATCCTTGACAAAGCTATCACTCAACCTGGAAACATGCACCAGCCCATCTTTGAAAGCCCCTATATCAACAAAAGCACCAAACGGTTGGATTGACATTACTTTCCCAGTGAATGTTGCACCAGGAATAAGTTCCTCATCCTTAACAGGAGGCATCTCACTTTTTCTAGTGATTCTTGATCGCTTGGATTGTGATGGAGCAGGATTGGACTCTGATTTGGCAACAACTTTTTCACCATTTTCTTTATCATCAGATGGAATTTCAGGGCCTCCAGGAGAAGCCTCATCTGCTACAGGTGAATCAGGTTCCTCTACTGTCACATCAGTCTCTGTGGCTGATAATATGTGGATTCCAGATTTTTTAATTAAGGAATACCCTTTTCTGTATCGCTCTGGAAACAACCTAACAGAAGTGAGAAGAGGTGCAACAAATCTCCGTGATGATAATGAAAATTTTGTGTGCTTCCTTGATGAACCAAATCTTGTTAAACAACTGCTCTCCCTTACTTTAAAGTCAGCCGCCACACAAAACAGTGAAATATTGTTTACAGAACAAGGGATCACAGGTGTCATATTAACCTAAATTGCAACAGTTAACAACAGTTCACACTAAAAAAATCAGTTCATTCGTTCACCTGCAAAAATGAGAACCAACATCCAATGAATATCCCAAGACTAACAAGAAATGAGATGTCAAAAAGTCGAGCAATTTATAATCAAGACAAAGTATCTCATAAAATTACAGAAATACAGTTCTGAACTCTATCTAAAACAGTTTTCTGAATTCGGATTGGCAGTCCAAACTTCGGATTCCCCTTTCAAGACCCTTGCGAACTAACCATGAATTGCAGTCATGAACTCCTCCTAGACACATGAACCTCAAATTATTACAGACCAATAAACTCCAGGGTAAATGAACTTCTAAGAACACATTAAAGACTGGAACTTTAAATCCAGACATTAACTAAAGCACAATTCAAAGCAAGTAACAACAAACATGAAGAGAACCCAGTTGGTACAACGTTGAAAGAACTAGGAAAAACAAACTACAGCACTCATAAATAAGTAATTCTCACAAACTGCATTCTGAATAAACTAAAGTTTAGAATACAATTCAATCGGAACAGAAACCCAAGCTTGAGTCAAGAATATGTCAGAACATGTACCTTGCTTCTCCGGAAAAATGGAGTGAATGCCAGAAAATCAGTCGGGAAAAAGTGGACAAAGTAACGAGTGAGGACAGAGATGAAGGTTGTGTTTGGATTGGGGATAGAAGTGAAGAAGAGAGGGAAATGAAAGGCGGGGCTTTAAATCCTTATCTTATGGACGCCAGTTTCTCTACAGTTTGTTCCTGGATGATATGCGCGGAGGACAGCAGATGGAAAAGGAAAAAGAGTAAATTTATATTTCAGTCCTTAATTTTATAATGTATTTCACTTTAGCCCACAAAATCACTGCTCAATTTCTTCTATAATAAGATTTTTTTGTTATGGGTTTTGTGGTTGTTCTTTTTTTGGATAAATTAGTGGAATTTGGAAGTGTAAGGTATAGAGTTATAGTATACAAGTAGTTGCTCTTCTTGTGCAAATTCGCTAAATTCTTTTGCTTTGTTTAGAATGAATAAAATAAAGAAATAATTTAGTTGTTAGTTAAATAGTTAAAAGGTATATCATTGATGTTAGTTTAATTATCTTTTTCCATAAATTATGACATGTTCAAAAAAGAAATAAATAAAGAAGAGGAAAAGTAAAATAAAAGGAAGGAAAGTAAGGGAGGTCAATTTTATTTTGTTTGGTTGGACTTGGATGGTGAAAGGAGAGAACATGGAGTATAAGTCCAAGTTGACTGATATGTCATATGCTTTTTTTTTTTTTTTTTTGTTTTATAAAATGGGGGGAAAATGTTAATAAATTTTTTTATGATATAAACAATGTTAATTAATAAGTATAATAATTGAATTTTTTTTATTGGAAATTATGATATGAAAAAGGTGTTTATCAAACAAACTTTTAAAAATTTTGATAAAAAAACATTTTAAAATTATATCATTTAAATAAATTTTAATTGAAAAATATTAAAATAATTTATTTTTAAAGCAATAACGAGACCATTTTAATTTTTTTTTTTGTAGTATTTTATTAAAAGTACATAATTTTGATTGTTTTTCTCCTTAATTTTTTAGAGACTTAACTAATAAATATTAATTTCTTATGATATTTGAAAAATGTTAAGTAGTTTGCTTCTTTTTTATGTATCCGGTGGTATAAATCTAACTATCAAAGAATATTTGTTTAAGAAAAAATAAAAATTAACTACGTAGAAAAAAATAAAATCAGAATTACCAAAATGAAAAAGAAAATGACGAGGAATAACCCAAAAAAGAAGGAAATATCTAATACAAAAAAGAGAAATTTTTTTTTTTCCATAAAGATGAGAGAATGAATATTTAATTTGTAAAATATATATATAAACAAATTTGCCACCAAATCTCATAATTAATGATGAAAGAGAACGAAATAAATAAGACCACTCTTTTTTTTTTTTGTGAATAATAAATATGATGGAATTTCGGTGTATGCACTTATTCGGTACAACTAATGGGCCACGACAAAACCCATACTACTAATTGGCTGGGCTGTTTCAACCTTATGGGCTCACATCAAACTTTTCTTTGGACGGTTATTGCTGCGGGCTTGTGAACCTTAAATTGAGAGGGCCGTAAAAAACCCTTGAGTTCTGTTTTTTTTTTTTTTAAACAAACATTGATTTTAGGAAAAGGCCAATTAAGTTGTTTAGTTCCCAACAAGAGTGCTCTAAAGGATGTAATAATATTTACGAGCTTAGAACCTCGATATTATAGGTTTTAAGTTCAAATTCTGAATAGGAAGGGCTTTGAGATGGGAAGGATATTTTTATTATGTAATTTATTATCAAATGTATAAAAAAATAACAAGTGCTTAATCGGGGCAAGTATTTACATCATGTAGTAAAATGTAAGATTTTGAGTTATTTACATCTGACGATCAACTAATTAACAGTGTAGATTAATTAACAGTATAGATTAGTTAACAATTTAAATAATTCAGTAATTATTTTTTTTGTTGGAAATAAAAGATTATGATTTTAAATCGCATAACATGTAAGTGCAGTGAGATAAAGGATATGAAATAATTGCTTCCCATTATGCAAAAAAAAAAAAAAAACAGTTTAGATTAGAACTTAAAATCTTAAAATTTGGCGAAACATGCATTTTACCCCTTTAAATCTTCGAGCAATGGCAAATTATCCCTTCAACTGAGAGTAAAGGTGCAAATAAGGATTC